ACCACTATAAGTTAACACATTTCATTCCCTCTCGCATTGGCCTCTTTTGGTCTTTAAAGATTATTTATTGTACAAACCCTAACAAAAATATACTATTGTTTACTATAGTTAACTATAGTATCAACGTTTTTACTATAGTAAATCAAAGTTTTCAATGTAGGGAATCAAAGTATTTTTACTATGGATTTCAGATTGTTACATTTTATGTTCTATAGTTCATATATGCATATTTGTTATACTAAATGGAATTTACAAGTTTTACAACATTGGTAATAAATTTAAAAGATTTTAAACAATTAAATCTCAAAAAAAGTTCTAAAGCAATGTTTCATAGTAAATCAAAATATCAAAGTATTTACTATCGTTACATTTAGTAAACTATAGTTAACTATAGTAAACTATAGTTAACTATAGTAAAATATAGTTAACTACAGTAGTTTTTTGTTAGGGAAGATCAGGTATTTTTGTTCAATTTTTATTTATCTATTATTCTTAATCTGATCATATAAAAACCATGAAATTACTAAAACACAACTGCTAATTAGAACTTTATATACTCTATTCGCAACCTAGATGCCCAGGAGCAGGGAAGATTTTCAAGGAAATAATCCATTTTCACTAAAGATTCAATATAGCCCCACCCTAATACCAAAGCCCCGGACCCAGGGGCCAGGATATTCAAAATTTGGGAAGAGGCACTCTTGCTCATCATAACCATGCACTTAGTGTGCTTCTTTAATAACAATGGGCAGAGAAGAAGATTTTTCAAAGAAATATAATGTATTTCTACTATATATTCAAGAGAGCCTCACCCTAACACCAAAATCCCTGACCCCTGGGTTATGAATTTAACTTTTTTGAAAAGATTTCTTTGCTCTTAATAACCATCCAATTAGATTTTCTGTTAAATTCCCCGGGGCAAAGAAGAAGATTTAAAAAATGCATTTCCACTGTATATTAAATAGACCCCCCCCCAAAAAAAAAAAAACACAAACACACACATGAAGCCCTGGCCCGGGGGCCACAAATTTCACAATTTTGGAAGGGGCATCCTTGATTATCATAACCATGCACTTAGTTCATCTGTCTAATGTTCTTAGTTTTCATGGAAATATCTCGCAGTGAAAGAATATACAGAATTAATTATTTATGCCTCTTGTGGAAGAAATTTAATATTGTAAATTTTGTTTCTTAATTGTTAAAAACACATGATATTTAAGCTTTTAAAAGATATCGTTTCAAAATGATCTTACATAATTTTCTAGATGGAAAATTTACAACATTCTCCCAGGAGAAGATTTATCTTGAGTCATCTCTTAAAAAAAACAAAACAAAAAAAAAAAAAAATAAAAAAAAAAAAAAAAAAAAAAATAAATAAAAAAAAAAACAGGTGCCCGTCGCCGATAATTGTCATCATCCCGATAAGAGATGTGTAATTAATTAGTCTGCTCCCAAAATCCGCGCAATTAAAAATGTATACAAGATATATACACATTGCTAAGTTTCTCGATACAGCAGATGAAGTAGGTCAGGAATGGGCACGATTACTGAAAAATGTAATCGATTAATAATCGATTACTTAGAGGAATTTTGTGTACTCGATTATTAATCGATTACATTCATTTTTGTCCTGTAATCGATTGTAATCGATTACTTTGGAAGATGTAATCGATTAATAATCGATTACTTTCAGGTTTTTATCCTTTCAAATATCAAAGCAATATTTAAATGGTAAATGTTGATGTTAGCGACTGAAGTTTGTGAATGTGTTCCTGCAGTTTTAGTGCAGATTCTTTTAAGGTTTTATTATTATGGCTAACATTCTCACTAAATGCCCAATTGAGGGATTCTCTACCATGGAAAGTGGAGACAAGATTCCTACAATAAAATGTGCCAAGGAATTAATTATTCCTTTCAACCTTGGATCTGAACCTCCATATTTATCGACTTGTTGCAAAAATTATTCAATATTTTATTGTGAATTACTTCATTAGAAGTATTTGGGCTGCCCGTATGCTAACAGTATACATTAAACATTCCTGTACGTGTCTTTTTCAAAAAAAAAGTAAATTAGAACTCTTAGTAATAAACATATAAATTAAATGTGTCTTTAAGTAATTAAACTAATACCACAATTTCATTCTGTATTGAAATAAGAGTTTTGAGAGCTATTAATTGTTTTAATAATATTGTTTGTCTTCAATGGAACTATCAATTATAAAATATTGTTTGTATTCAATGGAACTCAATGAATTATAAAAGTTAAACACTAGGTAGTTCACAGTTTACACCTCATTATCTGCATGTCAGGGGTGTCTTGAAGTCAATTAATTAGCCAAGATAAGCAAACGCAGTGACACTAACTCCCTCTCTTAAAAATATAGACTTATAACCTCTCACTGACAAAAAAGCAACCTTACAATTTTGAATGAAAACTTGAGAATGATTTTGCAAATTTTAAAGTTACTAAAACACAAGTTTGAAGTTGTTTAAACATTTTTAGATATGAATAAGTATTTCCATCTTCTTCTTTTTTTTCGAGTACAATGTAGTTTATTTACCAAATTAATTATATCTAATACAGCACTTAAATCTGTTATAGCTATTTATAATTTTCTATTATACAAGACAAAGGTTTTCAACATCTGAAATATGAAAAAAAAAAACATTCAGCAAGAGGACAGTGTGTCAAATGTAAAATGCACACGAAAAATCTGTATATTTTATTAATAATTGATTGAAGTACACTTCTGAATTATTTAATACTAGACCATTAGGTCTATAATGCAAATTTTATTGAGAACATTATTAAACTTATGATAATAAAAGTTAGGAAATCCAAACATTACACTAGGTGGTTTATATTTGATATTTATGTGTGTCTGACTGGAAATAATTCTCCAAAATAACATCCATTTATGTATAAAATAATCGACAGTAATCGAAAAAGTAATTATAATTACATTGACAATTTTAGCTGTAATCGATTAAATTACGGTTACAAGTAATCGAAAATCTCTTCGATTACATATTACTGTCGATTACTTAAAAGAAAAAGTAATCATTACAATCGATTACGATTACTCGATTACGATTACCCCATCCCTGAACTAGGTGTCCAAATTCGATGTCTACAAATTAATTGTTTATAATCTCTACAATTTTCATCAAGACACCGTGAAGTAAGTTATAAGGTCGCTGACTAATGAGCGGGAGGAACCCGTTTCGACCATGGGTTTCTGCACGCATTTTTTTTTTTCTAAGGATCATTTTTTTATTCCAAAATAGATTAATTTAATACCATTATATTATGAAAACGTGAAATAAAACCTCTTAGTTAAAAAAATAAGCCGATTATTTAATAAAAAGATAAACTGAAAGATAACTGAAAGGCCACTGAAATGTATCTGCCATTCAGTCGACTGAATGATAACTGAAAGATTACGGAAAATTCACAGGAAAGTCACGGGAAAGGATCTTTTCAGTGACCTTTCAGTGAACATTCAGTTACCATTCCGTCTACTGAATGGTGTAATTTCACTCTGTGATAATTTGACAAATGTTCTTAATAAAGTATTTTTAATTGATATGTTAATTATGATATATGTAGTTTAAAGGTATATATTAACTTAAAATGTTAATATCAATTGGAAAAAAAGCATGATAGATAACCCCGACTCAATTCATGGATAAATATATAGACGGGATGTGAATTATCACAAATAATGTAGTGTTTAAAAGACGAAATATCTACCCGATATTGTTTACTTTCATATGAACAGATCCATTGATTATGTTCTTCTTTAACATACAGGTAAGTTGTTGCAAGCAGTAAGGGATGGTCAAGACCCGAAATTTTACTTTTTTTCAATTTTACTGAAACATCCAATGATATAAAGCAATGAAGAATCACTAAGCATATAGGCAAAATGCATTCACGTAAGAAATGAATTTAATTTTTGAAGATTCATGCGGACATGAACTACGACGCTTCACGCCGGCATATTTTATGAAGCACGTTAGCGCTTCATGATAAATATGCCGGCTGGAAGCGTTGTAGTTCATGTACCTCATGAATTTTCAAAAATTAAATTCATTTCTTATATTTACATTACTTTTCTGATTAGGTGCCACAATTCAACTGTCATTTTTAAAGCAAAACAGTTTGCGCTATAGTTTTGATGTCAAGAACGGTATTATGACGTAACAATGGAGATATCCATGCTCATCCATTGTAGCTCATGAGAAAATGAAGAAAACTGTTATTTGCAAAGAATCTTAAGGAAACATATTTGGAATTGTAAATATGTTTTTTATTAATGCCATGCTCTTTTGAAATATTTTTGTGGGTGTTATTGGTGTGTTAATCACACAGATGCGAATGAAAGAATATTTCAAGAAGCATGCGTTGTGAACAAAGATATATTTTTGTTTGAAAATCGAAGTCTTTAATAGAAATAGAACATGAACAAACAGAGCGTTTACGAAAACCAGAAAAGCTAAATGCGTATTATATTTTGAAATGATTTTTATATCCCTAACAGTTGGTTTGTTGAATCAAATATAACACTTAAAAGTTCATCTTTTTTAATGACTTTTCTCGTAAAATAATTTTCGGTATATGCTTACTGTGTTGTGAATATATAACGTGTTTTTCCTTTGTTTTAGAATGTACAGATGGACTTTTTGGTGCCAGCTGTGGAGAGATCTGTGGGCATTGCCAGAATTCAGATCAATGCCATCATATAAATGGAACGTGCCTGAGTGGATGCAAGACAGGATACGAAGGCCAATATTGTAACAAAAGTAAAGGGATAATTATAAATTCATATGAATAGATGTACAACACATGTGATATGCTAAGCCAATAAGCATGAAAAATGTATATATATTAATGAGTTGATATTATATTTTTAGCATGCCAAATAGGATATTTTGGAGAAGATTGTATTAGTTTATGTAATGATACATGTAAGGGGTGTAACAGAACAAATGGCCTTTGTGACAATGGATGCCATCCGGGTTGGAAAGGCGATTATTGTCATGAAGGTAAATATTGATCACATGTGTAATATCAGGCTTTATGCATTTTAACGCTATGTTCTTGAATGTGTAAAATTAAGTGAAATACAAATGTGTTTTAATTTTTCTAAAACAATCATATTTTGAAAGACAAATGTGTTTATTTTTTCTAAAACAATCATATTTGAATGAGAGAATGCTTTACAACACTTCGCCATGCAAACTAAAGGTTTGTAAAAGGGGTATTTTTGCAAATAAAGATATTGATATCTTTAATTTCGGAATTAAAGACTTCATCACTATTTCAAAAGCAAATCAGCCAATTTTAAATATTATAAGAGCTCATAATAACAAAAAATATAAATGAAAGAAAAGAAATAAAATCAATTGAATACTAATATTTTGATTCATTTTACAGAATGCGATGGTGGATATTATGGACTAGATTGTAACATGCAGTGTGGAAACTGTTTGGACTCGGAACAATGTAACCCAATCAATGGAACGTGCGTAAATGGCTGTGATGAGGGTTTTGAAGGAATTCTCTGCAACGAAAGTAAGAAAAAAGTTCTTGTAAAGTCTTTAGAATTTAAAGTCTTGCCATTTCTTTAAAGTATATTTTTTTCAACTCCCATGTGTCCAAATAATTTCAACCACACTGCTTTCCAGCCTGTAAAAACGGAACATTTGGACAAAACTGTCTGGAGACTTGTAACGATACATGTTATGGCTGTAACAGAACAAATGGTAAATGTGAAACGGGATGTCATCCTGGATGGAAAGGAGACTACTGTCATGAACGTAAGTACAGTTTATATGAATAATTTTAAGCTTCTAGTATATTGTTTGAAAAAAAAATGTATGAGGGTTGTCCAAAATTCCGTAGACAGAGCTCATTTCTCTAACAAAAAATAATATATCTCTATAAAATTGTCTTTGTGCATAAAGTGTGTTGTTGGTTGAGAACTTAGGAAGTTTTAATATGATTACTTGAAAAACAATTGCTGTGTTACAGTGTACTTTTCCATAACATCCGGAGCAATCTCGGACGTCAAAAAAAGATACATTTCACGTCAAGGGTTTTTTTTTTTGTTTTGTTTTGTTTTTCTTTGTTTGTTAGTTTGTTAGTTTGTTTTTTTTTTTTTTTTTTTTTTTTTTTTTTTTTTTTTTTTTTTTTGGGGGGGGGGGTGTCTTTTTTTGGGATTTTTTTTTTCTAAATTCACTTATTACCAGAATCAAATTCTTTAATTCGCCATAAAGATTATAGAAATAAATTAAGAAATATCTTAATTGTTATGACATGAGTTGACATTAAAATATACGAACAAAGTATGTAAACATGTATGCAATATTAATGTTTTTGAAGCCCTATGTCTTTAAGGGTTTTGTGCTCTAAAATGGCGTTGCACATTGTCACTTTGACAACGATTTTTTTTTTTCCCGATTCTTCAACCGGTCTCTTTTTTAGTTTAGTTTTTAGCTTCTCCACATACTTAGAAAAACTGTATCAGTCTTTTCAATACACCAAGGACGAAATATATTTCCATGTGTACCAAACATTTATGAGCTCTGCGTTTCTGAAGGAGAGAATTCAAGTTCAGAACATTTGATCACAGACCTGTGATCCGCCTATTTTAACACAACCATCATTTTTCACCAAGTCCAAATTCAAACCTGTGCATATAAAACGTTATTAAATTCAGTTTAGTCAAAGAATATACAACAACACTGGAGGAAAGGTAGTTAATGTAATATTAAGACTTTTTTAAAATTCTATTTCCAAAATACTCTTTCGTAAGATTTTAAATATCATATACCATTTTCCACTTGCAATTTCTAGGTACTGCGTCGCCTTCTTACATCAGAAATTGAAATGTATTTAAATAAGGTTCCTTTGTACAATTACTCAATGTTTTTCCATAAATTTATTAGTTGTTGTTGGTTTTATCTATGTACAAAGCTTCATTAATTTAGGACACCTGGTTCCTCCCAAGGCTACGCTTGTCTTCGGAATGTTGGGACAACCCTAGTACATAACATAGACTATCTTGAAAAGATTATCAATATTATGAAAATAATCAATGTCATGTTCTTTGGTTTATGTTTATGTGAAAAACGGTAAGTAAAGACAGATTTTCTTGATTTTTTGTTTTGGAAAATATTTAAAAGCCAATAAGAGAAGTATATTTGCAAGTTATGATATTGTATATATATTGACGCAGACTTGCTTACAATATGAAAAATACCATTCTTTTCTTTAAGAAGAACAAATACAATATTTCTAAAATAATATTGACAGAAGGCATGTGTACAGTACAAAAAAGCACCAGTTTTTACTAATTCATATTGACATTCTCAATAGAATGCGATGATGGATTTTATGGAGTAAATTGTAATATATTGTGTGGAAACTGTTTGAATTCGGAACAATGTCACCCAGTCAATGGGACCTGCATGGATGGTTGTGATGAGGGTTTAGAAGGGATTTTTTGCAACAAAAATAAGAAAATCTTGAATTAGTATATGTTCTTTAATCGGTAAATGTCTAGTTAATTTCTTAAAATCATTTGCATAAATTGGTAGAGAATGGCTATATTACATCATTAAACACCTTATAGCTTGTGAAAACGAAACCTTTGGACGCAACTGTCTGGAGACGTGTAACAGTACATGTTACGGATGTAATAGAACAAGTGGTAAATGTGAAACTGGATGTCATCCAGGGTGGAAAGGCGATTATTGTCAGAAGGGTAAGCATTGCAAGTATACAAAATATGTTTAACATCCTCCTTAATTTGAAGATTTCAAAAATAATATTTGCGGTTAATGCAAATGTGAAAACCCGTATCTGAAAGACGAACGTTTGTTGCTTTTATTAAGAATAATATTCAAAGAACAGCTTTACTCTTGTGAAATATTGGAAGTGATCTGTTTTCAAATTGATTGCTGACTTGCTCTACTATAATTACAACAATAATGGTGTCCAAATATTATAACACATGTAGAAAACCCTATCATATGCAATAATAATAATATTCTTTGAAATTTTTTTGTGGAACAGACACCAAACATCCCCATAAATATACACAAAATTCAAATTTATAACGTGAATATACAACGATAAGAAACAGGAAGATTTAATCCAATTGTATATCATACATATATAAACACGAAATATCTGTGATCTGCTTAACAGAATGCGATGATGGATTTTATGGACTAAATTGTAACATGAAGTGTGGAAACTGTTTGGATATGGAACAATGTAGTCCAATTAACGGAACGTGCATAACCGGCTGTAACGAGGGTTTTGAAGGGATTTTATGCAACAAAAGTAAGAGTAATTGTTTTGTTACATATCAGCTTTTGAATTGAATTAATCATCGAGGACAACTAATCTAATATCTTTAGTGAACCGTTTTATGACACTACCTAACACCTTACAGCCTGTAAAGAAGGAACATTTGGACGCAACTGTTTAGAGACTTGTAATACTACATGTTATGGCTGTAACACTACAAATGGTAAATGTGACACTGGGTGTCTTCCAGGATGGAAGGGTGATTATTGCCATCAAGGTAAATCATGCCAGCATACACATACGTGATGAATATTATGCATTTTCATTTTTTAAGCTATCAATAGCTTTTAAATTACGATTTTTTTATGTATAAAAATGAAATTGACCAATGGACTGTTCTCTAATATTCTAATAAATATTTTAACTGTCATATAAAATTCTTTACTTTTGATTTTTTTTTTTTAAAATCAAAAAGTTTATTTCTTAATCAATTTTGGAAATCCTCTCCTTTCAATTCTATTCTAAATCATTAAAACCCATATAATTTTTTAATTGTAATGCAAAGGTTTGCATTAAACAAGATGTACGATATGGAGAAAGCTAAGCACTGCTGAATAATGTATGTTTTACCTCACCTAACCTGAAAGCTCAAGTGAGCTTTTCTGATCATATTTTGTCCGGCTTCCGTCTGTCTGTCCGCATGTCCGTCCGTCCTTTTGAAACTTTACATTTTTTAACTTCTTCTCCAGACCACTGGGCCAATTTCAACCAAAGAGCTAAAGCCACGAACCATCATATTTGGCCCTGTGTTTTTCACAAAAATAAAGTTTCGGTTCAAGAAGAGTACTATACGTTAAATATTAGAGGACAACATTCTTCTTTTCCATACATAACTTATATCGTTATATAATGCGCCATTAAACACGTGCGACGGTTGGAAAATGCGACGGTTTCATAAAAACGTTAAAAAATGCCGTTTTTTCGACAGATTTTCCCAAAGTTAGATGTGGCCACAGTCAAGAACAACTTTTATACTTCCCATAGATATAGATATTACCGATACAAATCTTTATGTTTAATATCGTTGTTGTTCGTGGCTGTGGCCAATATGAAATTTGATTTTATATTTAAATTTTGATGGATCAAATAATCATTAATTTGTAGATCAATCGTTTACATTCAATTCATGTAATAATAAAAAAATATAAATTTCACAAAATATGCTAGAAAATCAGTAAATTGTTCATTTAAAACGCTAAATGTGAAAAATAGTCAACTACATACATTTTCTGAAATAAATGTCTGGAAAAACTTTGTGGTTTTTACTATGACTAGGTCATTATGTATGACGTTACTAGTAATACGTCAGTTGTGACGTCATAAAGGCTGTAAATTATTTGGGATGTTGCTGAAAAGCTTTTAACACTCTAGATAGTGCCCCTACATGTATTTACATGTATATGATTTAATTACATGTAAACCCAACTGGATGATACCATCAAATTATAAGTTATCAGAAATTCCCGCCACGGTGTCTTTCTTTACTACCCCTCCCCCCTCCCCTCCCTGAAATAATTCAAAATACTGTTGTTAATAGTGTTATCAGGCATGACTTAAATTGTAAACAAATTAATAGAGATTGTAGCAGAGATATCACGCTATACCTTTTTAAAACAAGCGAAATAATAATGATATGGGTTGCTGCCCAAAGTGAAAATTAAAAAAAAAAAAAAAAATGAAAAAAAAAGGAATGAAAAAAATACGCATTAAGATAAACATCTGCATTTCCGCACCGAAATCCATCTTTTTTATGTACATGCAGAAGAATCATCTCAGTTGATTAACAAAATTCAGTTATAGCCATGGCTTATACATGCTGATACAAAATAATGTATAGTTATAGTATGCAGTTATGTGAGCACCGATATCGGGTTTCGTCAAAACACTTGCACATGACGATCCCGCGCCCATGATCAAAACAGAAGAATATATCGGTATATTTTTAATATGTCTGTATTTATTAAAATCGAAGTGAGGCTATTGACGCATATGTACATATAACACATACCCGATCTTGTCATCCATTGTGAAACATAATTCAAATATACCCCCAGTGAGTAAAATTGCATTAAATGCATGTCGTATGTCTTAGACATCAGTATAAAATGTTTATGCATTTTTTGTACTGTGCTCCAAATATTTCATTGTAACTAACACAATTTAATTATTAGTATAGTTATGCAGTCAGTGAAAGGGTAGTGATTATAGGTCTATTTAGACAAAACATAAATTAAATAAATAAGTACACTACATATAATTTACCCAAAGTTTTTATCCGTCATCATCTCTTCATTGCAACTTTATTAGTATACGGTTTTATCTAAGAATTCAGCGATGTGAAAACACATGGAGAGAGAGAGAGAGAGAGAGAGAGAGAGAGAGAGAGAGATATCTTAGAATGTTTTAAAAAACAAATCATGTTCTTTAAAGCGTATGGCCGTAAGTTGTTTATAGCTAGATTTTTTAAAACCCAACGAAGTAGATTTTTTTTTTTTTTGGATCATAATTTTTACTCTTTTTTTAAATCTATTGTCAGCTTATTCTGGTTAGTACACTTGTACCTCCTCCCTCAGTATAAACTATTAGTATCATGATATGTAGAATGGTAGATCCAAGACTTCCAGTTGAGATTGAAAAAAAGAGGGGGGGGGGTGTTACAAACTAATGGCAACAAAATTTTCATCTAATGTAGTTATTTTTATTTTATTCTCTTAGGTTGTCTTGAATTTAACTTTCTTTATTGTTAATTAATAGAAATCAATCTAGAAATTGAAAATTGTTAAAGACTTTCCTACTCCTCTCAGGGTTCGACACTAACGTTAGTCCGTTAGTCTCAGACTAATACATTTTCATTCGAACTAATAAAATATGTGGCTAATTAGTCCGCACGGACCAATAAAAATTTCTGAAAAACAATATGAATAAATTACCGATGTCCGATTCTCGACAACTTTTACTGGAAAACCCCGCGTGTATTTTTAGATATCTAGCTTTTGGCGGGTAGTTACAAAATGCCGGGTCAGTTCAGCGCCTTAATTTTTCGACTGATCGATATGAAGTATAAGGTTTTAGCAATGACACTTTTAAGAAAGATGTTGGACGTTTTGGATGTAATGTAAAGACCAAAAAAAAAAAAAAAAAAAAAAAAAAAAAAACGAGATCGTGAATACGATCGTACTTGCTGATTGCGAGATTTCAATGTATTTGTGGAATAATATATTTCACATAAATGCTTTATTTCAAAAAATAATACGTATATACGTATATAATTGTCACGTTAAATTAATGTTAAAAAACATTGATGTTTCTCTTTTTTTTGGACGGACTAATAAAATCGCGTGCGGACTAGTAAAAGTAATGAAGCACTAGTCCGGCTGGACTAAAGCCTTAAAAAGTTAGTGTCGAACCCTGCCTCTTATTTTTTCCTCAATGAGAAGGGGGGTGGGGACTGGTTTGGCAGCGCCTCTTTTCACGAAAAAAAATCATAAAGAAAATTGAAAAAAAAATATGTACGGACAACTCTTATTGCTTCTCCGACTAAAATATTTTAAGCAAGCTTTTGTTGATTAAAATCAATCTTGTGCTGATTGTGAGACAATAAAACAAGGATAAATGAACACCTGTACATGTATTTCAATTATGATAGTGACCCACATATCAGCAATATCAGTGTAGCTCTACTCTTTTTATAAACCATAAAAACCATAATGTGCAAATGAAATCGAAAGTGTGGATTTTACACAATGGTTACGTGTGATAATAACGAAAAATTCCTCATGCTTAATCTTCTGATACATTTACATGGAAAATAATCATAGAATTTTCGCAGACTCTACCTTTACAAAATCCCTGCAGATATTAAGGTATTTGGAGAAAAAAAGATTCGAATATTTTGCAAAAAAATGGGGGGTCGAGGGTTCTAGCAAATATTGTTAAATATATAATAATGGACAGTGACGAGTGATTTTTTAACGAATTTATTTTTCTTAAGAATATTTTTTGAAGTGTACTCTACTGTTTTCCATATTACTCCAAAGAAACTTACATCTAGGGCTAGAATGTTTTGATGAGTTCTGTTTACTAATTAAACCATTCTGATAAATTGCGAAATCCCTTTCCAATTAATCTAAAATTTTCCCTGTTTCTGTATCGAAAACAACGTTCAAATTATTGTTACAAATGAATAAATGGATTAGAAACAAGTCCTTCCAACTTTTTCCTTCATCCTCTTGTCCAAATAATTTAGATCTTTTATACGTTAAAATACTCGCAATATCAGGATCTAAGAATTTTGCATTGAAAGTCTCTTTCAATTTAAACAAAACCTTTTTGCAATTAAACTTTTACCTACACTGTAGTTATAGAATTAGCTCTTCAGTTCAGAAACATTCGTTTCAAGATCATTTCAGGTATGTTTTCAATTATTTTTTTTTTCCGACTGTCCACTTCCCAACTTTGAAAAACGATACTACGTGCCTGGACGCACATGCCAAAGATCAGCTTAATATCTGCTGGCCTGTAGGGGAAAATCCGGAAAACTTAGTTGGTCAGACTATCGGCATTTGAAGCATGTCGTATATTGTTTATGATGATCTATACACAATACTTCACTAGGAGCGAAGCATCGCTCAAAAATGTGTTGAAGGGATATAAATAGAATATTCCTTTTTTTTAATATTATCATAGGGACCAGGTAGAATGAAAATATTCCAAGACAGTCACACAGATTATTAAACTCCCGCTTGAAAAGTTGGGGTATATAGTGATGGGGGTGTCCTTTCCGTCCGTCTGTGCGTCCGTCCATTACGCTTTGGGGTACACATCTCTTATCCGCAACTCCTCCTATACCACTCAATAAAATTTAATGATACTTTCGCAGAATCTTTGTAGATAGTGCCATTGTGCACCTCCTATTTCACTTTTTGATCGGACACATATTTCAGGTTTCCAATAGCAAAACATAGACACTGCCATTCTTTAAATAATATTTAGGGTACCCATCTCTTATCCGCAACTCCTCTTATACGCCTGAATAAATTAAAGATTTAATGATACTTTCACAGAATCTTTTTACATTGTGCCATTGTGCACCTCCTATTTCACTTTTGATCAGACACATATTTCGGGTCTCCCATAGCAAAACATGGACTTTGCCATTATAAATATATGATAGGCGGGGTATCAATTTGTGAGCTCAGTGCTCACAGTACCTCTAGTTTTTACTTCATGTATCTATATAATTCAATCAGTTAAACACGAGGTTACCATAAAGACGGCAAGTTAAATCAAGTTCCAAATGCTTTTAATCGTCTTAAATTAATTATGATGTTTATTATATTATTGATACTAGTTTTATTTCAAAGTCACATATTCATACATGCAAAATCGATCAAGGAAATTTTTCCGCCCTACGACGTTACGTTACAGAAAATGACGTTCTACTAGCATTTTTCTTTTAAAACACCACCATACTTCAAACTCTCTTTTTAAAAAAATATAATCGATATCGAAAAAAGAAAAACGGCAAAGCAAAGCTAAAGGTCTTCACTATCAATTGACAAAAACCCATTAATTTTTGACACAGGGCCATTTTTGATGGTTCGTGGCTTTTGCTCTTTGCCACAAAGCATCCTTGGGTAAAGGGAATTCAAGTTTGTTCAAATGAAGAACTACGCAGATAATTACGAATAAATGAAAATTTGATGGCAATCTGTTAAAAATCTTCTTTTCAAGAACCACGGGGCCAGAAAAGTTGAAACTTATGTGAAACCTTCACTACATAGTGTAGTTTAAAGTTTGTTCAAATCATGACCGCTGGGGGTACCTATGGGATAAAAGTTTAACATAGGAATAAATAAGAAAATAAATTCTCCTCAAGAACAACAAAACCATGTTTAGTCATATTAATGTGGAAGCATCCTCAGGTAATGTAGATTCAAGTTTATTCAAATCATGAACCAGGGGTGGGACCACAATGGGGGATCAAAGTTTAACAAAGGAAAACATAGGGAAAAAATCTTGAAAAAGCTTCTTCTCAAGAACAACAAAGTCATGATAAGTCATATCGATATGGAAGGATCCTCAGGTAGTGTAGAATTTAGTTTGTTCAAATCATGACACCCAGGTGTAGGGCGGGGCCACAATGGGGGATCAAATTTTTACATAGAGACATACAGGAAAATATCTAGAAAAATCTCCTCAAGAACAAGAAAGCCATTATTAGCTTTATTGATATGGAAGCATCTTCAGGTAGTGTAGATTTAAGTTTCTTCAAATCATGACCCCTGGTTTAGGATTGGGCCACAATAGGGATCAAAGTTTACATAGAATTCAATATAAGAAAAGAAAAATCTTCTTCGAAACAGCAAACCCATTATTAGTTATTTTCATATGGAAGCATTCTCAGGTAGTGACTAGATTCATTTTTTTTATATATCATGACCCCCAGGGGTCACAATTTGGGATCAAGGTTTTACATAGGAATATATAGGAAAAAATCTTCTGAAGAACAACAAAGTCATTATTAGCTACATTGATATGACAGTATCCTCAAGTAGTGTAGATTCAAGTTTGTTCACATCCTGACCCCTGGGGGTAGGGTGTGGCCACAATGTGGATCGAATGTTTACATAAGAGTCAATATAGGAAAAAAAGATATTGAATAATTTTCTTCTCAGGAACAGGAAACATTAACAGTCATACTGATATGGAAGTATCTTCAGGTAATGTGGAATTAAGTTTGTTCAAAAATTAACCCCACCCCCACCCCCGGGGTAGAATGGAGCCACATCTCTAAAAATCTTCTTTTCAAGAACAACCAAACCATGATTAGTCATATCAATATGGAAGCATCCTCCTATAGTTTAGATTCAAAATTTTTCTACAACAAGGGATAAAATATTTACATAGGAATATGTAGGAGGGAAAATCTGCTGGGCCATATTGACTCAGGAGAGCGTTGTGGCCCATGGGCCTCTTGTTTTAGGATGTGACGATGGATATTTTGGTAAAGACTGCAAAATCAAGTGTGGATATTGTCTTAGTGATGCGCAATGCCACCATATTAATGGGTCGTGCTTATATGGCTGTGCAGCAGGCTACAACGGAACTCAATGTTTTGAAGGTGACGATATGGCAGAATTCTCTGGTTTTAAAAAGATAAAGTTCAGTCGTATTAAATTGAATCTTATTATTATCATTATTATTATTATTATTATTATTATTATTATCAATTATAGAATTAATATTAAACCAAAATTACAAAAGCTTAATACAGATCCACCCTTCGCACAGGTTAGCATTTATGCTCCTCGTTATAAAGGGTAGAATGAAATAATAATAAAGCTGAATTCAGTAATCAGTTACAATGGCTTATTATGTTTCTATGAAGCATTTACAATATGCAGTAACTTAGTGTGCATTGATGTAAAATATAGTAAAATATAGTATAAACGTACCTAATTTTGCGTCAATCATATTTTAGCCCGTTTCCGCAGCACCCTTAAGGCTACATAAAGGGGATTGTTTATTGTGACATCACACACAAATATCAAATCAACACAATACCAGACAATGAAATAATTTGCAATTTTATTCTGTTCAAGAGTAATGAACTACATCAAATATTACCACTGCATCCATTTTAGACGCTAGTTAAAAACCGACACAGCAAGGTCTAAACAAGTCACTGATGGCAATACCCTTGTCGACATGAAGTCTTCATGGTAAAAAAAAATCTGTGCAGTGAATGGCGAATTAAGGATTTTTTTTCAATGTCAAAAATATATTTAATTGTTAAACAGAATAGTATATACAGATGTAAGGTAGAACATTAATACCAATGCAAACCCTTTGTCTAGTGCCACTAATTAATTATTATAGAAAGCATGTATTAAGTTGATTCTACGGATTTTTGAGTACAGGTTCTGCATATTTTACATCGATGTGTCTCATTAAACGGCTTTTTTAAAAGAATATACACGAATAAACTTTATACGAGGGTTGTCCAAAAAGTTCGTGGACAAATGATTTATTTTCTTAATAAAGTCCGCAATGGCAAACGTGTACGAAAATATCTTAATATTATAAATGTTAAATATATTAACTTCGTATATCTTGACCAGTTTTTGAATATGCATAAAATTAACATGATATGCTACTCCTTTCTTGAAATCGCTAATTTATGTACGTTTGCAATATATGCTTCTGAATAATGTGTTCTGAAGATTAAATAGAGGTCAACTAAATCTAATAGGATGTTGAGGCCTATTGCTGGACCCAGAGCATGCATTACAATCAATACCGATGTAAGCACTAAATGTGCAACCTTGGTTTGGTTGCTCCTCGGTTTTAGCTGGAAAGTAACTAAAACATTTAAAACAATTATCTGGAAATAGCGTTCAACTAGGGTACAAACAATATTTTCTATTTGAAAAAAAAAAACATTTTTTTCTTTAACTTGAAGTCTGCTATAAAGGATTCTATGGATTAAACTGTATACAAGAATGCAATTGGTGTAAAGAAAGGTACTGCTGGCCACATAACGGATCTTGTGTTTTGGTAGGTTGTCGACAATTTCATATCAGGGGTTATTGGAATTTGAGAAAATAAACTTTTTTTGAACATGAAATAGGAAAAAATATATAAAGATAAAGATTTTTACTTTTTTCACTTGTTTGGGTTTACTTTTATAAATTTCTTTGAAGCGTGCTCTAAGTATTTTGTTTCAGTAAATATATACAAGGCATTTCGGACTATATGTTCTAATTTCATTGCTAGTAAAGTACTGTTTCTATGACTTGTGAAGATTTTTAAAAAAAAGAATGATATTTGTTTTATTCATTCGAAACAGGGGTTAAAACTAAATACAGAGACAGACATCTCACAAATAGTAGGAGCAGCTGTGGGGACTGTTGCTTTTGTGCTGATAGCAGTAGTTTTATTTTTTCTTGTTGTGAAAAGGTAATTATTTATCTTCAAGTTTCTCTCTCTATCTCTCACTTTTTTGACAAATGTATTCTACAAGAAATCTGTCTCTTATTCAGCCAAGTTTTTCCCCCTTAACATATGTTCTAATTATACCCGCACTTTCGAAAGAAAGTGCTGGTATCTTCGCGGGTATGTTAAGGAAGCAATCAAATCATTTCTCGTGAAATTTAGACTTTTGTAAGAAAATTAAGATTGATAATTTATCAAAGTCACCGATAAAACGTAAACTATTATTAACTATTTAATAAAGACACGGGTGTCTGAGGCCAAGTGGTGCACCACCTCGACGTCATCACGTGACTGCTATTAATAGCAAAATATTCCTTAATAAAAAAGTTAACAGAACAACACTAACCCGGGGTTTAATAATTTCTTTGAGTAAATAATATAGTTGAAAAACAAAAACATCTCTTATGCCTAAAAAGTGCTGCTAGAATCCCACTGTCTGGTCGGGAAAATAATTATTCAATATATTTGCACGAAACCTTACCCGATGTTTTGCGTTATATACATATAACCCGAGATATTTCTTCAAACCATCTTTACCTAACGATTCTAGCAGCACTTTCCAAGAATTATAGAACACAAGCTTTCGATATGTACAAATCTAACGTTTTTGAGTATTCAGCTTAGTGTTGTTCTTTTGCATTATTGTTGTCACGAATGACAGAGGAAAGGCCAACCGGGATACACAAATAGCTGACTGTCTTCAATAGAAGATATAATCGATGAAAATAAATCAACATACCTGTTTAACAAACTTTAACTTCACATGAATCACACACAGTATTAACGGTATTTGCTTCTGAATCCCCTTTTACGTATCTTTTTACATGCCGTTTTAGCCAAATTCTCGTTACACAACTTGATCAATTCTCAAGTTACCTGTTGAACAGTTATGCCGTCATCGGTCGGAGATTTCAATTCAAGTGACAGATACAGCATAACAAAATAAAAGCATTTTATTTTTGTTAATATTTCCACGTTTCTATTCATTTTCAGGAGGTAAATTATATCTCTAAATATCAATATTAAGAAAACTTGTTTTCTAAAATTGTCGTCATCTCGCCTACTATGACGTCATATTGTATCACTGATTCGGTCAAGTCAGATTATCTTAGTGCTTTCTTAAAACACCTGCGTTGTTGTTTCCCTAGTCCTTCCGTCCGTCTGTCACACTTTCTTCTTCCTCAAATTCCTCTTTTATTTTAACCAGTAACTAATGAATCTTTCTGAATATAATAAGTAGTGTCCTGTAGATGTGCAATAAGGTTTTGGAAGTTTCAATTTGACCCTGAGTGTTAAATGGGGGTCAAAAAATGTTGTTTTTCTACTATAACCTGGTTCTTAGAACTCCTCTTACATTTCACGCAGTAGTCTAATCATCTTTTGAAAAATGATTGGTGGTGTCCTGTTAATGTGCAATAAGGTTTCGGAATTTTCATTTTCACCCAGGGTCAAACGCAGTACAGTTAAGGTGCCAAATGGAAATATCGGCAATTTTTTTAGATAGAAAATACATTCTTTACAAGGATGGGCGTTTCTTTTTAGGACTTTACTATTATCGGACAAATGCAATGTGGTTCAAAACTACATGTTGAGGACGATTAGATTTCTTATTTAGACTTGTCACGTGATGTGGCAGTCACGTGATTTTAGCAAAAATACCTGAAGTATTGAGGTCATCTATAAATTCTAATATTGCAAGGACATAACCAAGTTAAAAATCTAAGTTTAACATATAATTATTTTCAACACTCTTTGTAGTTTGTGAAAAGTGCTGCGAACCTTTATAGATTCTACTATCTAATTTCTAAAATTACATTTGTTAGACCGTATGTTGAATATTTTGCTAGTCAAGTACATTAAATATAGATATAATTAATTCATTTGCAAGATTTCAACAGGCTCGCAAATATCTATATATATATATATATATATATATTTTCAAATATCTTCATACTTCTTGAGTTTATGCGTAAAAGCTTGTCATAATTCATTGAGGGTATGTCCTTGCAATATGTCGATTTATGACGACCCTTCTATAACCTTTCAATGAATCTGCTTACAAATATACGACAGTATCGCTTGTCTAGGGAATGTGCAGGAAGTATATGAATAAAATCATGAAATAGACATCGCATCCAAGTTAATGGCCTCTTATATATCTACAATTTATATTTTATTTAATTACAAAATACATTTTTCATTGCATAAATATGACTTGATCCGCCTCTCACTGCATACAAACTGCGTCAATTTTTACGATATGACGTCACATTGACGAGTGCATTGCGATTAGTGAATTGTTTATATATTGCTCTGTGGGATTTAACCAACGACAATTATGCATGCACTAGTTAGTATTGATGTAGTTTAAAGCTATTCAACAGTTTAAAATAGCAAATTATTTCATTTTGTGATAATTTGAAGAACTTATATTTTGGTGTGATGTCATAGTAAGCATTTCCCGTATAAATTAGGCCCCGCCTCCTTACTGCAACCTTAACTGTGCTGCGAATGGGGGTCGAAAAATGGCGTTTTTAGACAAAAAACCCCTGGTACCCAGAACTTCTCTTACATTTTACGTAGTAGCCTAATCATATTTTGGATAATGATTGGTGGTGTCCTGAAGTTGTGCAATAAGGTTTCGGAATTTTAATTTTTACCCTAGGGGTTACATGTAAATGGGCGTCAAAAACGACTTTTTTTCTTAAAGGAAAAGAAAAAAAACTGGTTCCCAGAATTCCATCTATATAATTTCGAGGTTATCTCGAATCATCGGGTATCTTAAAGTTTAATATTGGTTCCATCTAGTTTGAAGAAAAAGAGGTTTGACTGTATCTTTTTTCAGTAACCATGGCAACATTGTTCAAGGAAGTCAAAAACAGATAAACAGAATTGTGTATTTTAGTATAGTCTACTTGTGCAGTCTTATTGAAATTGGATGAAAACTGTGGGAGGAATAGTGTTTTGAAAGAACAATTTTGATTCTACACTATGTAATGAATCTTTCAGCTCTGGTGAGGCTAAACTAAGGGGAGTGGAGGGGTTGTTAGGGTTGACCATGGGGCACTTGCCCAGCATAATACTCAATACATAGCTCTTCCTAAAATCCTAAAATTTTGAATGCATAAGATAAGCATATGTTGGAAAACTTTTCACAAGTACCATGAGATTTGGTACTGAGTAAACGGAGAGACCAAATGGACCCAAAGGAAAAGTTTAACAACATACAAAATATGCTATGTTTTACATGAAAATTAATTCTTTGTTTTTCTATCTATTTTATAATACCTTTAGTGTGTTTCTTGAGATTTTAATTAAGATAATGATGATTTAATCCTGCCTAGTCCATTTTTTTTAAGCAAAGGTCTTTTTTTTCAATTGTTTACCCTGAGGGGTATGTTTACATATACCTATCTGCAACAAGTCAGGTGAGGGTCCATGTGAGTAGTTTTCAAAGTAATTTAGTTCATTTTTGCATACTCAAAATAAGATGACAGTCATGTATTTTCTAATGGATTTAAGCCAGGATCTCACTTGTAGATTATTAGTGACTTAGATGGGAGAAAAATGATCGAGAAATTTATTTACAGAGGTTTGCTATAAACTTGACAAGCAACCTAGAAACTTGAAGTTTGAGCCAGGTAGGTCCAAGGGGAGAAAAATGTACCCTGGACAAGGATTTTACACAAAGATGTTTTCTGACTTTGCCCTTTCATCTATAAAAATTAGATCAAGGTCACTGCACACCCTCCACATTATGAATGCTCTGTGAGTGAAATATGAACCAAACTGAGCCAAGAGAAAATGTGCTTTGGACAGGGATTTAACGCAGAAAGGTTTTTCAACCTTGACATTTGATCTAGAAAATTAACTCAAGTTCACAGCACATCCTCTACCCATGTGCACTCTTAAGGTGACGTTTGAGTCAGACTGAGCCAAGTTGAAGAAAATTTGTATTTTTTATGCAAGGAGATTTTCTGACCTTGACCTTTCATCTAGAAAACTGGTTCAAGGTCACTGCATACATCTTACCCATGGGCACTCTATGGATGAAGTATGAGTCCAACTGAGCCAGAGGGAGAGAAAATATGCTCTGGACAAGGATTTTATACAAAGAGGATTTCCACCTTGACCTTTCCTCGAAAACATTAGTTCGAGGTCCCTACACGCCCTCTATCCATGGATACTATATGGATAAAGTTTGTGCCAGGTAAGGTCATGGGGAGAGAAAACATACTCTGAACAAGGTTTTCTTACGCAATTTTTTTTTCTGACCTTGACCTTAATCTAGGAACTCGGTTCAAGGTCACTGCATACCATCTACCCAAGGACACTTTTTCATAAAGTTGAGCCAAACCGAGCAAAGGGGAGAGACGGTGAGTGACTGGAAATATGCTCTGGACAAGGATTTTACACAAGATTTTCCACCTTGACCTTTGCTTGAAAATATTAGTTCGAGGTCCCTTAACACCCTCTACCCATGCGTGAAGTTTAGGCCAATTAGGGTCAATGGGAGGAAGAAAATATACACCAGACAAAGATTTTTATAATCAAGGTTTTTAAAGAAGGGTAGGGCTGACCCCAAGGCAATACCTTCATACAACTAAACTGTTCCTGACAAAAATGCAAGAATACATGTCTTTAAGAACCCTCTCTAGAATTCTATTTCCATGGTACTTTTTTGCACTTTGAGTGATCTGTCCCTCGATGTGAAAACTGCAATTCTACAGTGTATGTTTATATTTGTTTATTAATTTAAGTACCAGTGTATTCTAGAAATTAAAAAAAAAAAATAAGAAAAATAGTCGGAAACTTTATTTGAATGTATTTTCTCCAAATAAGCAAGCAAAAGTACTGGTACATTGTAATTTATATAAGTCAAGAAAATTGTTTCTGTGAAATTGTCATTAATTAAATTAATTAATAATTTGAGGAACTGAATATTACAAAAATATTTTAAGGATTGAATTTAATAACTACCAAAGTTATTGCTTTCAATTGTTTTTGAGGTATTTAACCATTTACAGTTTAAGAGGGAAGGGATGATTTCCATGGGTCATGACCTATATACTGTTAAATGCATCATGACACAGAGATGCAAAAAAGAAAGTATTTATTGTATTTGAAATTGGTTTTGGATAAAGCTTTCAACTGTTTTTGAGATATTTGGCCATTTCCAGTTGGAGGGGGGGGGGGGTGACCTGTATTATTTTTCATGTGTCATAATACAAAGACCAAGATTATATATGGCAAAGAGTAAAGCTTAAATGTTTTTGAGATATTTAGCCACTTCCAGTTTCAGCGGGTGGAAATGACATCTAGGAGTTATGAACTATATACCATTTTATGTGTCATGACACAAGGTTATATATCTGGTTTAGGGAAAAGCTTTCATTTTAGATACTTACCTGTTTTCAGTCTCCCATGCTGAGTTATCATTCATTCCCCTCTCAGAAACAGTGAATGTATGACCTGATGGTAGAGAGTAATATTCTTTTGTCAGTTAGTCCATAAGTCCATTTAAAACATGATACAAGTTCCAACTTAACACCACAAAATAGATTGTATATGAAATAATTCATCATGTTAGTACATGTAACACAGACACCATGTGCAAATCAAAGAGCATGGTGAAACTAGTACCACTGCTATAATTCTGGAAGGGTGCTTGTAACTTCGGGAGGATGCAAAAAGAATTTTTTTAAAGATGGATAGTTGGGGCAAATATGATAGGAAAACAAATGAATTTGGGATGTGTATTTGGGTGAAGTCAATTGGGATCACCCGGGTGGCTTTAGAAAGCCCGCCCCCATTATATTCCGATGTTTTCCCCGTAAAATGTAGTTTTAGCATCTAAAATTTTCAATTTCATCAAATTGCACACACTGAAAGGTATTATTTAATGTTTTGCAACAACATGAACAGATTCATCAACCACCAAACATAAACTGATTTTAAAAAAAAAAATCTTTCTTAAAGAGAACTCCTGAATTAATTTTCGGACTGGTAATGAATGTATTATTGAAATACTAACACAAGAGGCCTATTGGCAAAATGCTAATCTGTGAATTTTTTGCTCAATTTAATGAATGAATATATTTTACGCAGATTACAGAATAACAATTATGGGTTCTTCATTACCCAGGTAGAGGGAGAGAGTACATTTAGAGGCAAACACTTATGTTCTGGTATTACTGTCTTATGACAGCTTTTAGTTGGATTTGTAACCACATGTTAGTTCATTTAATTGTTTCTGGAAATAAAACCGCGTAATATGTGTGTATTTTTTCATGATTATGACAATTTAAAGTTAACAACAGTCTTGATTATCACAAAAGGGAATCATTATGTTTAGTTTTGTTGCACACAGAATATACATTATATGGAAGCTTTTAAACCGTGTCAATATTAATGCTTTTAAATCGCACTGCTAAATAGGTACAGGAAGCCAAAGGAACAAAGGAAAAACTCAAAACTTTTACCAGGTATGCTCATATGCTTTGTTTTATGTACGTCAGAAAAATAGAAATGTTAACTGCAAAAGTGTTCTTTGTTTCCGAGTACATAATTTTACTAGGAAAAAACATTTTTTTTTTTTTACATTCTTTCAACTGAAATAAAACCTAAAGGCGCTGCATGGCTTTTTTGGTATCTGATTGCTTAAAAAAATATAAAGTTCCATTTGAGATCTACTTTCTGGTTTCTAAATGTAGAAAGCAATGACGAGCATCAATTTAACAATGTATACACGAATTCAAGTGCTGTACAAGAATTGAGAAAGAAAGGATGTCAAAAGTACAATTCAGATGAAAATTTAAACATGGAACAGTTGATAAGTAATGGAGAAGATAAAGAAGAAATTCCTGATGATGTGGATGACTTATACATGAACCAGCTCAGTTTCTCCGATATCCCCATTGATCAGTTGGGAGCATCTATAGCTGAAAAGAAGGAAAATGACAATGAAAAGTTTCGAAAGGAATATGCAGTATGTTTTATTTAGATATTTTCAATATCTCCCAGTTTTAAGGAAAGGAAAGGGACGGTTTGCAATAATATTAAAGTGTCCCTTAAAATAGTAAACAGACTACAAAAATGCACTAAAATATTGCCGGTTAATTGTTTTCTATGCATATAACTTACAGCCTCTAGTTAAGTGCAAATTACCACATGGGAATATCCTAATTCCTCAATTTAAATCCTACTTGACAAGTTTCACCTACCTATCTAAAGGTTTCAGAAAGGTGTTTATGGTTTGAATAAAAATTGCATTTTACTTGCTAATATTTCATATTAATAGCCCTTAAGCTGGAGTAAGCTTGAGCTCCATCAATAAGATATGGAGATAACGAACAGTAATCAAGCTCAAAAGTCCATTGAAACAATACAAATCGGGAGCAGAGCAAACACACCCCAAAAAACATAAGATGTGGAATCAGGTGCCATTGAGGAGTAAGCATCCCCTGTCGAGCAAGACCCTGCCTCTTGTTGTTCCACCTTAACAATATTAAGTTACTGTATACCTTCATACCTCTCTTATCTTATTCAAATGGATAAAGTTCCTCTATTTTCCTGATTTTTAGATGTTTTTGTGGGTTTTTCTTCTTTTTTGCACAATCTTTTAAGCGCTTATTCATAAAAAGAATTTGCTTTAATGCAGATATGAAAAATGCAAACATTGCAGGTGTAAATCAAGACAAGGCAAAACGTCATTTGGGTTCATAAACATCAAATATCTTTAAACAACGTAAAAGAAATGTGCTTGCTATAGAAAGCTGTTCATAAAATCTTTAAATTGGTTACAATTTTAGGTCTTTCCACCGGGCCAACTACATAAATGCGATGTGGGGAAAAGATCAGAAAACGTTCCAAAGAACAGATTCAAAACAACATTTCCATGTAATTTTTTAAAATATCATTATTAAGTGTAAATCGATCAATCCAAAATTGTTATATTCACGCTGCAAACAACGTAAGCAGTGAAAATGATCTGAAATAAATAATAATCACATCAAATGTTAAAAGTACTTTCTTTTCTTTTTTCTGTTTTTAAAGGGTATTATTTTATTTGAATGCCTGAGATTTACCAAAAAAAAAAACAACAAAACAAAACAAAACAAAAAACAACAACAACAACAACAACAAAATTAAAAGTAAACACAGTCTTAATATTTAACATAGAAAAGAATATAGATCTGAATTAATGTTTATATTTTCATTTCAGAATTAAAGTAAAGCTCATTCGTGGCAGTGTTCAATTACAAAACATTGATTTTTTCTTTCTTTTTTAAGATGATCACTCCAGAGTTGTATTGAGAACACAGGATGAAAATGCATCGGATTATATTAATGCAAATTATATTGACGTAAGTTACAGTATTCCTTTAAGCAATTACGTACTTGAGGACTTAAATGTGACATTATTTATTCAACGCATTTAGTATTAATACTACATTTATAACAACCAACGCATTTCTAAATTGTAAACAGTCAGAATCGGAAATAGTTTTGCCTTAACTAGACACAAGACCCATATTGCGGAAAAGGGTCATTTAGTCACAACGGAACTTTACTCAACATATTGATAGTATTAATTTCGCATTTTAAAAAAATGTACCATTTGATGTGATTGAATAAATGACATAAATTTGCAAAGCTGTGAAGAAATTGTTTGATACCTGACAACAAAAGTGTCTAGAGCTTTTGACGGAAAATATAGGAAGTATGTGTGCGGGATTTTAAATAAAATGCAATGAAAAGCAAAATCAAAAAACTGTGACAAACGGTTCAAATCCTGGCCCCAAGACCATAAACTGAGAACAGACTTAAGTCAAAATTTCGAATCAGTATACCGGTAACCTTTGAAATAATTTTCATATTGAAATAAAATTTTCATCATATGTTTAAATTAGAATATTATACAAACCTGCAAATTTTTAAGTACATATGTTAAATAAAACTCAAGATATTCAAATTCAAAATTTTGACTTAAGTCTGTTCTCAGCTTATGGTATTGAGGCCTAGTATACAATTTATACTTAGGAAAAATTACGAAAGGCCAATCAAAAGCACACATTCCGAGGTATGCAAGTGCAGAGATAAATCCGGTCGACAGCGAAAACTTACTCCTATTGAGCCAATTAATTTCAGATGATTAAGTAAGTTAAAACTCTAGATACTGAAGTGGAATATAATACAAAACCACGATAAGCATACTTATATCAAAACTTTGTTAACTTACATTCTTTGATTTTGTAAATAAAATCAATTATTCTGAAGATCTAACAGGATAGTGTACGGGAATAAAAAAAAAGAAATCAAAGCCTTGGTTGTTCTCTGTATTATCGGTCTTCCTAGATTCGGAAAATCAGGAAACTGTTTATCATATGTTCGTTCAATGACAATCATGAAATGGGCGGTGAAAGTATCTTCTATATTTCTGCGAGTTTAAAAATCAGATTGATCATGCCTTAAGTATATATATATATATATATATATATATATATATATATATATATATATATATATATATATATATATATATATATATATATATATATATATATATATATTATATATATATATATATATATATATATATATATATATATATATATCTTAAACACCCAATTTTACGTTAACGCCCTCAAAAACTACCTGATTCAAGATCAATAATATACCGCCTGTCAATCATAGAAAAAAAATAGCTACTGATTTGATTGACAGACCAGCTACCCGTGCTACCTGATAATCTGAATTTGCAGGTTTTGAAAATGATCGCCTGGTCACGCGTCAAACACTTTCATGTACCGCGTGAAAAGTCGCTTTGTATATACACTGAGGGTTAAAAAAAAATCAAGTCGCTGTTATATTGCATGGTTAGTCATTTTATTAAAATAATTAAGAGTAGAGAATTAACCCTTGACTTCATATTTTTTTTTTTCAATCTCCACTGCTGTTTGGCACTTTTTAAAAGCGATATGATGTCCATGTCCAAAATAAATGTAACTCTTTTTTGAAGAAAAACTAGTGGTTCGATCTTTTTCAATTACTGCCTGGGACTTGGATCCGGAGAGGAACGAAGTTCCCGTAGCAGCTAAGACCAATAATTCTTCCGAGCCCCTTCTTCAACCTTTGCCGAGATTTTAGTAATCATCGTAATGCCCCTGTCGACCCTGCATTTAGGTGTACAGAAACTCAATGCGAAGCTCGCCAATTAAAAGCATGACAAAATAAAATAAAATGTATAAGAAAAATATTTAGCATAAACATCATGAATTACGAAAGATTCCTTTATCACATGCTTTATCTTTGCATATATATGAATACGAATAGTGATCGATCTTAATTAAAACTTACAAACAATACAAATCTGTGAACACGGACCTTCGGAAATGCTGAATATTTTGGACAACATTGTTGGCACCTGGAGAAAAAATAAATACATTCCGATTGTGGTAAAAATCCACATGCCGGATAGATGTGATAAATGGGATTTTTTTATTTCAATATTCATACTTATTTAATAAATTTTATATTAAAGTTTTTTTTTTTTTTTTTTTTTTTTTTTTTTTTTTTTTTTTTTTTTTTTTGCTCAAAATTAGACACGAAACGCGTAATGTTGACCGTGATTACCAAAGACAGACTTCCTGTGTTATGCAACGTGTATAGGGATTTTTGACATCTTGAGTATTGGGGCTCTCCAGGTAAATAACACCAGTACTACGAAGACCACTCCCCCTCCTCAGGTAACCGTACGGTAAAAAAAATTGGGTCTTTAAGTATATATATATATATATATATATATATATATATATATATATATATATATATATATATATATATATAGATTTATGATTTAAGACATCTGTAACAAGAAGAAAATATATCTAATTAATTGATATTGATTTTTTATTCACTTTTGCTGTGTTATCTAGGGACCAAATCGGAAGAAAGAATATATTGCTGCCCAAGGTATCGTTATTTATGATTTCTCTCTCTCTCTCTCTCTCTCTCTATCTCTCTCTCTCTCTCTCTCTCTCTTGGCCAACGTTTTCCATTTATATGACTCTTAAAACTTTAATTGAATAATTTTATACTGATTAGGAAAAATAATAGCATAATGCACTAAGAAGTGGAGTTTTTGGATTCGTAAGAGGAAAAAAACTGTTTTTACTTTCAACTACATCTAGTTTAACATCCTCCGTGTGTCCTGTTGGTATTTCAAAATATACTAGTTATAATTGTAACGGGGACCGTTACAGATGTTCCCAAAACGCTCCCCAGCTCCCTTTTGGTGTCTTATTTGCTGTAAGCTTCATTAAATAAGGCAATCAAGTATATTAGTCGTTTTACGCATTACACGTGCATGCACGTGCATGCATAGGCCTGATGACCATATCATCTTGTCTACACTTTAAATATATTTGTATTTTTCAGTTTCAAAGCATTTCATCAAAAAGTTTAAAAGTTATGGCTATATGAAGTATATTGGTCATTTTACGCATTGTGCGCGTGCGCACTTACATGCATGTCTTTGCATTCAATTTTGATAGTAGCATAATGTGGAAATCCGTTATACCTATTCATATTCTAAATTTCATCCAGTTTTGTTGAGAACTAAGGAAGTTATAGGCATTTCAAGTTTAAGCCAATCAGATTGCAGCACACATGCTTGCGCGTGTTTTCATAATGATTCTTATACATCATTTTGTAGAACCTCCTAATGTATGACTATGTTTTAAATTTCAAAGTATTTTGTCAAAAAACAAGAAAGATATTGAGACTTTTGTTTCAGCCAATCAGAGCGAAGGGCACGTGCCTGCACGTGAGTTCATGATAATTTGACCATGTCATCTAGTCTACACTTCTAATATATTCTTATATTTTGAGTTTCAAAGTATTTCATCAAAAAGTTTAAAAGTTACGGCTATATCAAGTATATTGGTCATTTAACGCATTGTGTGTGCGCGCACATACATGAATGTCCTTGCATTCAATTTTGAGAGTAGCATAATGTGGTAATCCATTATACCTATTCATATTCTAAATTTCATCCTGTTTTATTGAGAACCAAGAAAGTTATAGGCATTCAAAGTTTGAGCCAATCAGATTGCAGAACACGTGCATGCGCGTGCTTTCATTAGAATTCTTATATATCATGCTGAAGAACCTCCTAATGTATGACTATGTTTAAAATTTCAAAGTATTTTGTCAAAAAACAAGAAAGATATCGAGACTTTTGTTTCAGCCAATCAGAGCAAAGCCCACGTACATGCGCGTGAGTTCGTGCTATTTTGACCATGTCCTCTTGTCTACACTACTAGTATATCCTTATATTATGAATTTCAAAGCATTTCATAAAAAAATAAAAGCTATAATAAATATATCAGTCATTTCACTTATTGCACGCGCCCGCACGTGCATGCATGTGCGCGCAAAATGACCTTCGACGAGCACATCTACACAACATGCCTATTAACCCTAAAAAGGTTTTAACTCAATTGGATGAGCAGTTTCCGAGAACACTCGCGGAACAAAAAGTACCGGAGAAGAAATAAGAAAAAAGAAAGAATAATAATAATAATTATAAGAAACAGAGTAAAAACAATATGTTCCCAAACTTCGTTTGGGGGACATAAATATAAAATTACTTAAACTGCGTATTTGGTATCGTTATGTAAAGGAGGTCTAAACGAAGTAAACAATTGCATTGTAGATCTCTGATTTTTTGTCCCCCTTTATAAAAAAGTCGAGCAATTGTATTATGGTACAACCTAATAATTGAGTCCAATGCTAAAAAACCGATATGCTGTCTTTCTTCAGAATTCAGGTGTGCTACGTTCGTTACATGACTTTTGTGGATTTATTATGTTCCCCAAACGAAGCTGGGGAACATATTGTTTTTACTCTGTTTCTTATTATTATTATGTTCCCCAAACATAGTTTGGGAACATATTGTTTTTGTTTTGTTTCTTCTTATTAAGGTCTTCACGTAAGACTTTATAGTGATTCTACTGTTTCTTATTATAATTAAGGTCTTTCGTCTTCACGAAAGACCTTAAAGTGATTCTATTGTTTCTTCTTCTTCTTCTTCTTATTAAGGTCTTCCGACTTCCTTCGGAAGACCTTATTGTTTTCCGTCTGTTTTCTATTATTATTATTATTATTATTCTTTTTTCATAGTACGGCCGATATCTCAGCTGTAAGTGGGCGGATTTCAAAGATTTTTTTCAGGGAAGATGCATCGTGAGAATATCTCCAGACGTGTTTTTCATTTTTTGAAAAATCACTTCCGTTAGCGATTTTTGGGGAAATTTGTTTTTTTAAATGGAATTTTGTCCGTTAATTTTCTCGAGAACGGCTAAAGATATGAAATTGAAACTTATGGACGTGATAGAACATGAAATGGAGATATGGTGATCGACCTTTATTTTTCGTCGTTCATACTTCCGGTCGCGAACGGAAGTGAATTCAAAAATGTTAAATTTGCAACTTTTTTGTTTTTCAATATTTTTCTTTCAAATTTACAGGGTTAATAGAGAGTCTTTCAAGAATTCTATGTACGTTTTCATCATTTTGATTGATGCATTTATTGCAAAGATATGACCGATCCAAACTTTCTCGTATGTTGCGCGTTCGAATCCTGCTGGGGCGGGAGATTGTTTCTCTCTTTTTTCAGTTGAAAATAATATTTTTCTCCGTGAAGACATGTATGATAGTTTTTGCTTATTTTTTTAAAGCTTTGTTTTCAGAGATTCTACAGAAATCCTTTAATAATTATGATCTATGTTGAAAGACTGTGTTACATAAACGTAAACGAAAAATACCTTCAATAAAGTATTAAATGAAGTGAGATAGCAGAGCGTTCTGGAGAAAAGTTCGGTCGGAAGACCACTTGTTGCCCTAGCAACAAGAAACGCATCTAGTTATTATTCTTTTTTTTTTTTCGAAAAATTTGTGCAGGCGATCTCTCAAACAGTATTCACTGGATTTCAGTGAAACTTTCAGAGGTAATGGGCAATGATATGAACTTTGTTCATCACAAAGAAAATTTTAAAAATTCCCTTCCGGTTCCAAGTTATGGACAATTTCCTGTATTTTAATATGGATTTTTGTCTTCGCAACTCCTAAAGAACGGCTAAAGAAATGAACTGGAGACATGTTAAGATGATAGAGCATGAGTTGTAGATGTGCATTGTCAACTTTTTTGTCGTCGTCATTAGTTCCGGTCGCCGCCGGAAGCGAATTTCAAAAGTCAATTTTTTCAACTTTTTTGTTTTTCAATTTTTTTTAAATTGATATTAGTAAGGATAATAGAGACTTTTATTTGATAACTAGATGTATAATTTAGTTTAAAATTAATTTATTCACTTTCCAGTTATTATTCTTTTTTTCCCAAAAAATTTGTACAGGCAATTCCTCAAACAGTATTTACTGGATTTCAGTGAAACTTTCAGAAGTAATGAGCAATGATATGATCTTTGCTCATCACAAAGAAAATTTTGAAAATTCCCTTCCGGTTCCAAGTTATAGCCAATTTTCTGATTTTAAAATGGATTCTTGTATTCGCAACTCCTCCAGAACGGCTTAAAATATGAACTGGAGACATATCAAAGAGGATAGAGCATGAGTTGTAGATGTGCAACGTAAACTTTTTTTGGCGACATCATTACTTCCGGTCGTCACGAGAAGTGATCAAAGAAATCGAAATTTTCAACTTTTCTTTTTTTAATTAAAACTTGCATCACATTATTGCATCTCTTTCGCATTTTCGAAATATGTTGATCCCACCGCAAACAAAAACGACAACTTCCGGTTAATAGAGAAAAACTACATAATTTGAGTACTTTACTTTCCCATAAATATCTTTTATAGATAAAGTATTTGAAATGATTTTTAAGTATGTTATTTAGACTGGAAATATCTAGAGTGACGTCAAATATCTTTGTGAAAATTCCTTCCGGTCGTGTGTTTTCCTGTCCTCAAAATAAGAAGTTGTCTGAGCCAGGTCTCAGAAACGGTTAGAGATTAAGGCACCAAACTTATACTAATAATAGACCTTGAGAAGTAGGCGAAACCATTGCGTTAAACGCGTCAGTCGTCATTTCCGGTCGTCACAGGAAGTGATCAAAGAAATAAAAATGTCAACTTTTTTTTTTTAAATTAAAACTTGCATCACTTTATTGCATCTCTTTCGCTATTTTGAAATATGTTAGATTCAACCTGAAACAAAAACGTCAATTCCGGTTTAAAAGAGATAAACTACGTTATTTCTATATATATATATTTCTCATAAATATCGCTTATAGATTAAGTATTTGAAATGTCTTATACATGTTGTAGATACTGCAAATGTCTAGAGACACGTCAGAGATTTCTTATAAAATTCACTTCCGGTCGCGTGTTTTTTGCTGTCCTCAAAATTAGAAATTGTTCTCACAATTGCTCTGCAACAATAAATGACTGAAGTCTGAAACTCTCAGGACTGAAAGTCAGTCATCAGTTTATTTGCTTTGTGTGAAAATCGTGTGTCGCCTTTACTTCCGGTCGTGACATGTTGTGATATAAAAAAGTAATTTTTTTATTTTTTTTTCGGGGGGGGGGGGGGGGGTCTACAGAAGTTAAAGGCTAATAACGACGTAAGAAAGGACATGTCCATGCAAATTATTTCCGCCGGAAGTGCCGGCCGAAAAACTGAAAGTTGTCTCAAACATCAGTATATTATTATGGGAACTGGATGATCAGTTGCGGATACTTTAGATGCAGGATGTGCGTTGAATTCTACCCATCTATTTTAATGTGATATTATCCTTAATAAGCATTTCTTTAAAGTGCGTTTTATCCTGTGTATGTCACTAGCATATATAGTTAGAAAGATATATAAATATATTTACTTGCAGTCAATGATACAAGGATGGAAAATAGGACGGAAGACCTCTCGTTGCTCGCAACGAGTTTCTAGTTATTATTAT